AAAAAAAGTGAAAGGGGGTGGCGGGGGCCAGGCACGGAGAAGCGAGAAGGATCCCTGGGCAGCTGGGGCAGCTGTAGCAACTGAAGGACAACCCAAGGTCGGCGGAAAGGTTTGGCACTGTGTGGGAGAGAGGGAGAGAGTGAGGGAGGACTACAGGCAGACGAGGGGGAGAAGTCTAGAACATCATACAGGGAACCTGCGTAGTGAAGACTGTTGGCCCAGGGCAGGATGGCCGAGCTGACTGGGGAGGCAATCACAGGAGACCGGAGCAGATGAGTAGTCTGGGAGGTCTCAGCAGATGGCAGAGCAGGTTGGTAGTGGTCGAGAAGAATGTGGCGGTGTAGATTCTGGTGCTGAGGTGTGCAGAGTGGGGCTAGTGCCAGCGCTATGCCAGCCCGGGCCAGTAACTCAAATAAAGACAATCCACAGTAACCAGTGCCGGGGAAGTCATTTCAGAAACAAATCATACCTCCACTAAAGCAGATCAAAAACAAAAACAGTCCTCCGTTATAGCAGTTCAAAAACAAAACACATTCCTTCGTTAAAGCAGTCCAGAAACAAAAACAGTCCTCCATTAAAGCAGTTCAAAAACAAAACACGTTCCTCCGTTAAAGCAATTCAGAAACAAAAACATACCTCCTGTCACATCTGTGACCCAGGCCGCCCCCTGTACCTCGGTAGCAGGCACAGGTAGTTCCAGCAGCTCCAGCCCTGCACAGGTGAGGGTGCGTTCCAGGCGACGAGGCACACCTGCTCTCAATTATCGGAGCAGTATATAGGGTCGGTGTTGGTGCGTCCCCGTCGCCAGATTATCATATGTTGTCCTGCTAGTAACGCCAGTTCGTGTTCATGTCAAAAACTCAGGATTATGGACTCTTTGATCTGTGCTCCTCACTGAATGCTGTGAACAGTAATTATGCTCAGTACTGTTGCATCGTTTTTTTTACTCCTTCTTGAAACGGGCCCCTGGCCTTCACCATGTGAGGTCAGTTGGTTTTGTTGAAGTATTAGACAGTTCAGTTTGCTGTATTTTGAGTTTCCTTATCTTTTGTTGACCTCTTTTAGGGCCCAATTTATCTGATGTTAATTTTGTATTTTTCTTGCTTTTGGGTTAATAAAAAACCCTTTATTTTGAACTTTGAAAGCTGTGTCTTTTGCCTTACTGCTTGGTCCCTGACACTACTGATACATTATAGTGTACATGACATTTAATAAAGCTGGTGGAGATAATATGAAGTACTTTACATACTGCTAATGTTTGAATTTCGTTTGAGGATCACTAAAGACAGGATTATATTGTTAGTTTTATTTATCTGAGTCTTAAAAGTACCTGAAGTTTTAAGATACAGGTAGTGCAGTAAAAGATACATTTGTCCCTGAAATGAAGCCCAAGTTTAAAGTAGTGGAAAAAGGAAATACTCAAGTACAGATGCCACAAAATTGATTAAATGTATCAGAGCTACTGATAATGCAAACAGTATTTCTACTGGGATTTCCTTATAAAAAAAAGTATGCAAACGCTGGGTGTCTCATGAGGAATGTTTTATTGATTTTAGGTAATTTCTTCTCAAATCTTCTGGTGTGTGCTCATTTCCTCAGACAGATTATCAGGTTATTCTAGTATTTATAAAGCAGCCAAAGTATTAGTAAGCAAGATTTTAGATATTTCTGGACGTGATTTTTGCCAAATGAGCTATTTTAAATAGCGGACCTGAAACGGGTTCAGGGCGGATGAGCAGAACAAAATACATACTGTGTCCCCATGTACTGATCTATAACGGATGTCACTTGATTTTAACACCGCCCATGGGTTGGATCAGGGTCGGGTTTGCATTGGATCAGTGATCCATTTCCGTTGCGGATTTGCCGCGGTGTGCAAGTGGACTCCGACCCGGATCCGTTCGAGTCACTTTGCTCTCTGTGGCGTACAAACGATAAAGCGTCAGTAAATCCAACCTAGCACGTATGAGTAGTCAATTTCGCCCCTTCAAAACGAATGATTTTCGTAAGGAGTGATAATACTTTCGTGCGACTGTCATATTTTAGGCCCGTATATACGAAGAAATGAATGTTAATTTCCTGGTTGACTTTGGGTTCTCAAAAAACGCCTATGACACATTTGTCTCACACACTACTGTCACCAGTTAACCTGAACCCCCATTTAAACTGGAACACTGGCGCAGAGGAGGACAAAGTGGAAACATCGGAACGGCCTGCTCTTCAAAAAGCTAGCAGCGCGTCCTTTCAGTAACAGGAACTAGTTGACAAGGACCTCAGCTCTTTTCTCACATGTTTTAACGCAAACCTGCGGTTACCGCTAAAACACGATAGCACAATTATTATTTAGAAGCAGTCAAAAAGCTCCTCCCTGGTAAATTCTCACTTTAACCGTAGTTCCACAATGCATTAACGCACACTTGTTGATTAAGCAGTTGGACAACATCGAACACCACGCCAACGCCCCTCAATGGGGTTAACAAATGTCATACCTTATTATAGTGGACCTCGGGTTGAGTGTTGGGTGCTGGGATGGCAATACCAGAGTACTGACACGCCGACAGTCTGCCTAATCTGGGAAGGGCCCGATAAAACACTGTACGAAGCATGATACAGAACTCCTTCCTTCACGTCAAACACAACATAAACAAGCCCGTGTTAAGACCCAGTCAAGGATAATAAGGAAGCTATAGAAGGCGGAGCCAGAACTCTAAAATATGGGGGCGGGGCTAGACAACCACAATCCCGCCCACGTCCTCCACCTCATCATCCCATACTGTTATAGGGAGTCGCTACAGCATGTAAAAATACTACTACTACTACTAACAATACTACTACGAATAATAATAATACAGCGCTGTACCAGCAATCAAAAAACTGATTCTGATTCTGATCTCTTCATAATTCCTTTATTCAGAACAACAGTTGCATTTTGTTCCAAAAATATAGTAATTGTTGACAGCGGGTTAAATAATAAAAAAAAATAAGAATAATAATAACAACCACCTAATTTTTAAACTCCAATGACCTCATTTTGAAATACACAGAATTTTTAATTTGGGGCTTTACTGGATTCCATTCCAGCAGTTGTTCAAGACCTTTTTAGCTTACCTCTCTTTGTCCTAGTCTGTCATTACACCTCACACTGTAGCCTACAATCTGCCAGAAATCTATTAGAAGAACAAGAAGAAGCTTGCTTTACAAGAGGGACCTGCCTGCAGACAAATGGCAGACCTCCATAATTCAGCAGCTCAGTACCAAACCTCCATCATACCAGAGGCTGGTCTTCATCTTGTTTCTGTGGGAAAACATCTGCTCGTGCTTTTTTCCCCCTCCATATGGTTATTGAACAACGTTATGTGCAACCAGCATGGCTACAGCATTATTCCATGTTGCAACAGGGATTAGGTGCATATAAAAGATTTTAAAACAGAATAAATTAATTAACTAGAAAAATGCATTTTCTGAAGAAAATGCATATGGATACTGAGTGCTGAAGCACTGCCCTGTAAATGTTGAACATTTTGACATTTGAATGACTTTTCTAGCTGAAATTATGCTGGAGTTTTCCCATTTATTTGAATGGGGCAAATTTTCAAAATAAAGCTAAATATTATAAAAAGTAAGGAGTTTAGAAAAATTCTGAATAAAACTATGAATGTCCTTGAAGAGCTGAACATTTTGCTACTTGAAATAGCTGAAAGTATACAGAAGTACAATTTTCCCATTCATTTGAATCAGGGAACCCTTTCAAAAAAAAGGCTAAATATTTCAATGGAATGAAGTTTAGAAAACATCTGAAGAGGAGCATGAATGTCCTTGAGGAGCTGAATATTCTGATACCTGAAAGTATGCTGATGTAGAATTTCCCCATTCATTAGAATGGGGCAAAACGTTCAAAATAAAGCTATATATTTCAAAGATATAAGGTTTTTAAAAAATCCTTAAAGCAAGCATGAATGTCCTTGAAGAGCTGAACATTTTGATAGCTTACAGTATGCTGAAGTTGAATTTCCCCATTTATTTAAAAGGGGCAAAATTGTGAAAATAAATGCTGAATATTTTCAAAAGTATGAAAGTTGTAAAAAAAAACTTGAAAACACACCACAATGTCCTGAAAAACCTGAACATTTTGATACCTCAGGATAGGCTCCTTTCATCCTAAAGAATGATCTGTCTAAGTTTCAGAAGATGTCCACATACAGAGAGTAAAGTCAGAAAAATGTGTGCCAGCTTGTGCTCTAAAAGTATCATGCTCTGATTAAATACTGCTTAAGCTGAATTCATGCAATACTGCCTGTGTCTTTAAAAGGGTGCAGACAGAGCAGCTTAGAAGTGGGTGGGAATCAAGCAATATTTATAACACCTGGAGCTTGAGGCTCAACTTCAACTAATGTTGCATTAAATGCATGCCTCAACACTGTGGTAGCACCACAATCGGTGCGCTGAGCGATACAATAAGGAGAGAACCTTGAAAGCTGAATTAGATGATGAAAAAAAACTGCAAATTGTCCAGGTAAGATTTATGAAACTAGTTTGTTGTTTTGGTTTGAAACTAAATTCTGGTTTAGTCCTCTGGCTCATTCTCCAGC